TGAGAGTGTGTACAGTGGGAGTGTGTACAGTGAGAGTGTGTACAGCGGGAGTGTGTACAGTGAGAGTGTGTACAGTGGGAGTGTGTACAGTGAGAGAGTGTACAGTGGGGGTGTGTACAGTGAGAGTGTGTACAGTGAGAGTGTGTACAGTGGGGGTGAATGGGAAGGGGCAAGTGGTGCTGTGTTAAAGGAAGAGGAATAGCCAATTGAGGTGTTAAGGCTGCGCTGGGAGCACATATTGGTGGGTGTAGGGGGGGAGGGGGGATGTCTTGTGTATGACGTAATGGGAGCTGTATAATGTTCTGTGTAACGGAAGAGAGAGAGAGAGAGTGAGTGAGCGCAGTGCTCTGTACCTCATTGGGATTCTGCCCTTGGTTTACTAAAGCACGTGGGAGTAACACGGAGACTGGGTGGAATTTCAGGCCTATTTTCGTGTTTCATTAGCTCTTTCCGGGAGCCATCAGAGACCCGCAGTTCATGTCATCGTAGCCCACGGGACCGTTACCTCTTAAAATTTAAGGTAGAAATGACACAGCGCGGAAATCAGCCATCTGTCCCCACTAATTCGTGCCGGAGTTTATGCTCTTCTCCACATCAGCCCTCCACCACCTCCCCCCCCCAACCATTTCCCTCTCCTGTTCCCGCAGCGAGAGGATACGGGTTCGACTCCTGGGCAAGTTTCCTTACTCCGCGCACACGCCTCTGTTTACCTAGCAGGAACCCGGTTGTTATTCGGTTGGTGGATCGCTGTCCCGGGGGTAATAATCCCTTCAAAAAAAAAATGTGGTCACTTCAATCCGCGACTGTTTGTGGGGACGCTGCTGAGCGCAATCGGCTGCTGCGTTTCGCCCGCAAAGCACACAGTCACTCCACTTCAGAGCGTATCCTGTGAAGCGCTTTGAGACGTCTCAATGACGCGATAAGGCGCTATATCAAATGCGAGGATTATTATTATTATTATTAAGATCCCCCCCAAAAAAAGAGAAAGGAGTTTCTGTCTCCCTCCTCTGGTGTCCTGGCCATTAATCCCCCGGACAAAATTATTCCCTCACTTCACAACTGTTTACGGGTTCGCAAACTGGCTGCCCACTAAATAGACAGTCACTACACTTGACAGTAAAACCCCGTGAAGCCCTTTGAGACGTGATAAGTCATTGCATCAAAGGCAATATATTATTTAGTTCTATCTCTGGCTGATTCCCGTCGGAGCTCAGGAGGAGGGAACATGTCTATTGATCCTGTGGTTTCCTGTTACTAAGTGATCAATAGCTGGGATTGAGAGACCCAAAAGCCTTCACGCTCTCCTGAACTTTTCCCTCCTTTTCTCCGGTCCCACTGACTCGAGACAGCAACAACTACCAGTGACATTTACACAGCGCCTTTCACGTCGGGGGGACGTCCCAAGGAATGGGTCGTGGCAGGTCAAGTGGCCGACGTAAAAACATTCCCTTCCCGTTTGACCCGGTCTCTGTAACCTCAAAATGTCCCAAACGCACTTTGCGAGAGTTTTTGTCAACAACAACAACAACAACAACAGCAGCAGCACTCCTGGCGTTTTTACACACGTAGAGACGTCTCAAAGGGCTTCACAGGTTATACCGTGAACTTCAGTGACTGGATATATTGTGGGTGAACCTCAGCAGCCAATTTGCGCTGCCTTAAGTTAGTGACTTTATGTGGGGTGGGGGGTGGGGGGATGTGGGTGTTGGGGGAGATTAGGCTCGGATTGGGATGGTTTGAGCTTGTGTACGTAGCTAATGTCCGGGGGGAGTGGAGGGGTTTATCGGAATGGGAATGTTGTCTCATTACTCCCCCACCCCCACCACCCCTCCCCCCCCTCACAGTGCCTGGGTCTGAGATTGGAGCCGGTGAATCTTTTCCCAAGAAGGTCGATTGCAGACACACATTAAACAAAGCGATCTTTTATTACACACAGAAAACCGCACTCTCGTAAAATGATCTCGTTTTAAGCGAATCCGCCACCCGAGACAGCGTCCATAATGTCAAACATTCGAAGCAACTTCACGGGCAATTAACGTCAGGTGTAGTGACTGTGTTTGTGACGTCCCACAAACAGCCACGACCCAGATGACGGAGGTGCCGTCCTTCGGATGAGACGCTAAACCTCACTCCCCATTCCCCGGTTCAGGGCAGACGTTAAAGATCTCCCGCTGTGCTGTCGGGAAAATAGAAGGGAGTTTCTTGCGCTCGAGTTTCTTGCGCTCTCTCTCTCTGGGGTATGTTATATTATAATAATAATAATCCTGGCATTTGATGCAGCGCCTCATCACGTCTTCTCGACGTCTCAAAGCGCTTCGCAGAATAAACTGTAAAGTGAATTGACCGTATATTTGTTGGCGAAAACGCGGCCGCCGATTGTGCACAGCGACGTCCCACAAACAGCCGTGGGTTGAAGTCACCAAATTATTATTGTTTTTTTTTGCTTGAGGGATTATTATCAGGTGGGTGTGTGTGTGTGTGTGTGGGTGTGTGTGTGTGGGTGTGTGTGTGTGGGTGTGGGTGTGTGTGTGTGTGTAGAGTAAGGAAACTTACCCAAGGTTTCGCCCTGACCTGCCGGGAATTGAACCCGGGTCCTCGCGCTTGCGAGGCGATACGAGCGCTCTAACCACCGAGCTACAGGACTCCTACTATTCATCTTTACAGCAAACTCCTGCAAAGCGCTTTGAGACGTCCTCCCGACGTGAAAGGCTCTGTGTTAAACCACGGATTGTATCTTTTATGCCAAAAAACCTCAGTCATGTAACTGTGATCGACGTTTCTGGAGCTTGTTCTGAATCTGCCTTAAGTTTGACCTTAAAAAGAAATCCCAGTTAATGAGCTAAAGCAATCATAATAATATTTTATCCTCCTGTTACAGCCACTCTGATACACCGACGTCGAAACATCCCCAGAGCGCTTTGCGGGAGCTTTTGTTTCACCGTGATGTGTAGTGACTGCGTGTCTGCAATTTATTTCTCTCCCATTTGTGTGACGTTGAGCTACAGAGATCAGCCATGAACAGGCTTGAGGGGCTGAATGGCCTCCTCCTGCCCCTACGTTCCTAGACTCAGCCAGTTTGACGCACAGCGACGTCGCACAAGCAGCCATGGAGCGAGTGACCGATGGTAACTGGGGGATTGTTGGCCCGGACACTGGGAGAGGGAGAGAGAGAGAGATGGACTCTCTTCTCCTTTTCCTACAGCGATGTGGGAGATCTTTAATGTCCACAACGAGACTTGATCTCACGCCGTCTAAGCTGTTGCTCCGATGCAGCGCTGGGGGGGGGGAGTGCGTTGTATTGTCGGAGGCTCCGTCCTTCGAATGAGACGTTAAACCGAGCTCGCTCCCCGTTACAGATCTCCTGTGGCGCTATTCGGAAAGAGAAGGGAGTCTCTCTCTCGCTTCCTCTCCCTCACTCTCTCTCCCGGTGTCCTGGCCAACAATCCCCCAAAGAAAGTCAGTCACTCAATCCACGACTGTTTGTGGGATGTCGCCGTGTGTAAAACTGGCTGCAGACACACAGTCACTACACTTCGCGGTGAACCAAAGTTTTTCCGCGAAGCGCTTTGGGGACGTCTCGACGGGGGTTGGTATCGAAGGAGCTGCTCACGTCCGGTGTCGTGTCGGGACCGTGTGTGTGTGTGTGTGTGTGTGTGTGGAGTCCTTGTAGCTCAGTGGTTAGAGCCCTCTCCTCGCCAGCGAGAGGCCGTGGGTTTGATTCCCAGCCGGGAGGGGAGAAACCTTAGGCAAGTTTCCTTAGGAACCTGCTGGCCGGTCAATTGGTGGCTCGCCTTTCCCAGGGGGGTAATAATCCCTCCAAACAAAAAAGGGGATCACTCAATCCACGACTGTTTGTGGGGACGCTGCTGGGCGCGATCGGCTGCCACGTTTCGCCCCCCCAAAAATGCAGTCAATTCACTTTACAGCGTGTCCTGTGAAGCGCTTTGAGACGTCTAGAAGTCGTGACAAGGGCTGCATCAAATGCAAGGATTATTATTATTAGGGCCCACACACACACACAAACACACGGATACACACACACACACAGTCTCACACACACACGTACACACTCAGTGACATACACAAACACACACATAGCGACTCGCACATGCGTGCGTACACACACACACACACAGTCACACACATACACACACACACCCTCACACACACACATACAGTAACACGCACGTACAGTGACACATTTGCCCGCTTGGCAGATGGGAAGGTGTCGGGTCAAATCAGTTTGGGGATTGGGATGGCACCGAACCCAGGCCAGCCATCTTCCCACGGGGGGGGGGGGGGGGCGGGCTGGGGGAATCCCAGAGAGAGAGAGAGAGCGAGAGAGACATACACAGCCCAGACCCTCCTGCTGTACCAGGCTGTCAGCTCTTCTCATGTGCTGAGTAACGTGTTGGGCCAAACGAGGCTGTAACACTGTGAACATGAGCTGTGCGTGTACGCGTGTGTGTGAGAGAGAGAGAGAGAGAGAGAGGTTGAGAGAGATTGCGAGAGAGCCAGAGAAAGAGACATTGAGAGAGACTGAGAGAGACGAACAGAATGAGAGCAAAAGAGCGGCTGAGAGAGAGAGAGAGAGAGAGGCTGAGAAGGACAGACTCAGAATGAGAGAGCGTGAGAGAGGATGAGAGAGACCGAGGCTACAGTGTGTGTGTTATTGTGGGGACTGTAAATGCTGGAGTCTAACCAGCTAAAACCACATAGCTTGCCCGTTGGGAGCACTCGCTGACTGGGAAGCTTCCCGCTATCTGTTCGGCTCGGCCCCCCCCCCACCGCCCTGTAAGGGGCTGTGGCTTGAGGGGTTGGCTGTCAAATTGGCTGCCGTGTTTCTCCCGCAAAACACACAGTCACTGCACTTTGGGTATATCCTGTGAAGCGCTTTGAGACGTCTCAAAGACATGATAAGTTGCTGCATCAAATGCGAGGATTGATTATTATTATTATTATTATTATTCTCTGTCTGTCTCTGTCTCTCTCTCTCACAGGGAACTATAAAGGTTTATGTAAACCTATAGACCACTTCCCTGAGGACACTGATTATGAAGCTGATGCTGCTGAGTATTTCCTCCGTAAGTTTGTTACCCACAGCCGCTCGGTGTGTGTGTGTGAGAGTGTGTATGTGTGTGTGTCTGTATGTGTGGGGGTGGGATTGGGGGGGGTCTGTGTGTGTCTTGTCAGTGTGTGTGAGATGGTGTGTGTGTGTGTTTGTGGGGGGTGGGGGGGTGCTGTATTGCTATATGTCTCTCACTCTCTGTCCCCCCCCCGTCCCCCCCCAGGAGCAGTGAGAGCCTCCAGTATATTCCCAATCCTCAGTGTGATTTTGCTGTTCATGGGCGGTTTGTGTATCGCTGCCAGTGAGTTCTACAAAACCCGGCACAACATCATCCTCAGTGCTGGAATCTTCTTCGTGTCTGCAGGTCAGTCAAGGGCTTCTTCCCCGCCCCTCAGCCCCCCAACACCCCCCCCCCCCCCCCGCAGCCTGGCTCCGAGAGTGGGGAAAGGAAAGGGGGAGCGTGGAGAGAGGGGAGCAAGAGGAGGGGAGGGAAAGGAGGGGAGGGTGGCGAAGGGGGAGAGGGAAAGGGGTAGGTAGGTGAGCTGTCAGACGGTGACACGCGCACACAGTGATGAGCTGAGACATGTTGGCGCTGTAGGAGAGGATCAGATACTCAGGCTGTTGGTAAAGGTCACACACACAATGTGAACACTGGCCTGAGTCCCCAGAGGTCAGGGCAGCAAACCCCCCGCCACCCCCACACACACACACACCAACCCCCTCTCCTCCTCTCTCTCTGTCATCCTCTCTCCCTCCTCCTCTCTCACTCTCTCTCCATCTCTCTCTCTCATCCTCTCTGTCAGTCTCAACCTCTCTCTCTCTCTCTCATCCTCTCCTCCCCTCTGACACTCTCCTCTTTTCCTCTTTCTCTCTCTCTCTCTCATCCTCTCGCTCTCTCCCGCTCTGTCACTGAACTTGCTCCCAGGTGCCTTGTCTGGCCACGGAATGTGGGAATCGAGCCCCCCCCACTCTGTGCCGGTCTCGAGCCCCCGGTTCCTGAGCCAGAAGGGGCCGCAGTGTCCCAGGGCACTCACTGCTGATGGCAGCACAGCCCGACCCGGCTCATCGGCAGGACCTGGAAGGGCCGACCAGTCACTGGGGGCCGGGAATCCTCCCCCTCAGCTCCTGGTAACCCCACAGCCAAAGCCCTAACTAACGGGGAGGGGGGTCCGAGCTGGACACGCAGCGGGAAAGCTGCCAGACAGTGATATTAATGGGAGAGAGAGAGAGGAATTTCCACGTGTGGGTGGAAGGCGTGGGAACCTCAGCTTGGTTTGGATATTCTTAAGCAACGGCAACGGGTTTTACGCACGTGTCAGTCACACCCGGCAGGCCAGCGAGAAAAAAATGTCAGTGTAAAGGGTTTCAGGGTAAAGTGTAGTGACTGTGTGGTCGGGGGTAGGGGGTGGGCGCGGGGTGAGGGATCAGTGTAAAATGTTTCTGTGTATAGTACAGTGACTGTGAGGTGGTGGTGGGTGTGGGGGGTGGGGGGGGCGGGTGGGGACACTGTGCAGTATTTCAATGTCAAATATCTCAGTGTGAAATATTTCAGTGTAAAGTGGTTTGAGTGTATAGTGACTGTGTGTAGTGATTTTTGGCTGTTGCCCCTCTATCTCTCTTCTGTCGTCCATTCCCTCCCTTCTCCCCCCCCTCTCCCACCCCCCCCCCCCCATTACAGGTTTAAGTAACATTATTGGGATCATCGTGTATATTTCCGCCAACGCTGGTGACCCGGCCAAGAGCGATTCCAAGAAGAACAGCTATTCGTACGGATGGTCTTTCTACTTCGGGGCTCTCTCCTTCATCATCGCCGAGATGGTGGGGGTGTTGGCTGTGCACATGTTCATCGACCGGCACAAACAGATGCGGGCAGGAGCTCGCACCGACTATCTACAGTCCTCGGCCATCACCCGGATCCCCAGCTACCGCTACCGTTACCGTCGGCGTTCCCGGTCTAGTTCCCGGTCCACGGAGCCCTCCCATTCGCGGGATGCGTCGCCCGTCGGGATGAAGGGTCTCAACACACTCCCCTCCACGGAGATCTCCATGTACACGTTGACGAGAGATCCACTGAAAGGCACGACCCCAGCCATGACCTACAACTCTGATCGGGAGCATAATTTCTTACAGGTTCATAACTGTATCCAAAAAGACATTAAGGAAACCCTTCACACCAATACAGCCAACCGCAGGACAACTCCTGTATGAAGAGAACATTTCGACGATCGATTGAGAGAACGAGAGAGAGAGAGAGAGAGAGAGAGAGAGAAACACACGAGAGAGAAACAAAAAACCAGAGTGAGTGAGTGAGTGAGAGACAGAGAAAGAGACAGACAGTGAGAGAGAGAGAGACAGACAGACAGACAGACAGACGCGAGGAGGAGAGAAAGAAAGAAAAACGAAGCCACACACACACACCCCCCCACACACACACCCACACACACCCCCCCCTCCACACACACACACACACCCACACACACACCCACATACACACACACACCCACATACACATACACACACCCACACACCCACCCCCCCACATAAACATACAGCCACATACACACATCCCCACACGCACCCCCACACACACACACACCCACACACACACACACCCAGAAGACAGAACGAACAGAACGGAACGCGGAACAAAACGAAAAACGGAAGACGCAGAGAAAACACAAAAAAATGACAATTTTAAAAGAAAAGGGGTTTAAAAACAAACGAGAATATTGAAACTTATTGCATGATAAAAGTCAAGTAACTATTGCAAAAAAAAGAGAGAGAGAGAGAGAGAGAGAAATGCGACGTTAAACCACTTTGAACGAGCCAACCGAAGACCCAAAGACAAAAAAAAAGCGAGCGAGAGACAGAGTGAGAAAAAGGAGGAGAGAAGAAGAGAGAGGAGTGTTTGAGAGGGGGTGCTGGGGGTGGGGGGGGGGCGGGAGGTGGCGCGGGTGGGTGGGGTGGGTGGGGGAGACGGATTTTGTGGAAAAATCGGGATTCGTATTCGATCTGTGCAAACGGGCGCATTGGAGAGAGAGAGAGAGAGAGAGAGACACAAGCAATGTTTAAGGTTTCCTTTTTTCACACAAGCACTCCCCTCCCCCACACGCAGCCCCCCCCCCCACCACCCCCCCACCACACACATACCCACACACACCCCCACATACACGCAAACACACACACGCAACCCCCAAACTGAGGATTTCAAGTGTATTTTTGTGGTTGAATATGAAAATAAATACATGTGCAGAGCGATGGAGCAAGAGCCGGGGGGGGGGGGGGAAGGGGGGGAGAGCCAGTGGGGGGGGAATGGGGACTGGTTGGATGGCTCTTTCGGGCACAGGTACGATGGGCCGAATGGCCTCCTTCTGTGCTGTAACATTCTACGATGGCTATAAATATTTCTGCTTTGGGCGGGGGGGGGGGAGAGGAGGGAACCTTTCATTGCACATTGAGCCGGGAAAGGGGTGAGGGGGTGAGGGGTGTGTGCGTGTGTGCGTGTGTATGCGTGTGTGTGCGTGTGAGCGGGGTGGAGAAAGAGAGTGGGGGGGGGCAATATTGTGTGGGATATAAAGGCTGTTTTCCCCTTTAAGAAGACAAAGAGGAGGATGGATCCCAATGATGAGAGAGGGAGAAATTATAGGGGAAATAAATGTTTGAGAACATTGCAAAGAGAGAGAGAGACCCTAATCCCTTTATCACACACCCTCTGTCCTCTCTCTCTCAGTCACTCTCTCTCTCCCTCTCAGCCCCTCAACGCACAGTCACATACACATATGGACGCATGTACTGACAGACGCGCATACACATACACGGACACACGTACACACACGTGCACAGACACACACACATCCGCACATCTAGACATACACACGCGCACAGACACACACACAGACACACGCAGACACATACGCACACAGACAAATGAGAAAAGGAAACCAGATTCCGTGACTGAAGGTTAAAGTCAGCGGGAAAACAAACTGTACAAAACAAACCGTGGCCGCAATGTCTCTCTCTTTCACCACCATCGACATTCTTTGAACCATCGGCTGTTTAAACCGATAAAATATTGTATATTCTGTTCCGTCTGTAAGTGGGTGAGGGTGGGTGGGGGGGGGGAGGGGGGGGATTTCTGACTGTGGTGCATGTATAATGCAGATCAATAACATGAGGGGAGGTTTTGGGGGGGTGGGGGGGCAATGAACAATAAGCTCTGTTTAAATCTCCCCTCCATCTCTCTCTCTCTCTCTCCCTCCTTCCCCCCCCTCTCTCTCTCTCTCTCTCTCTCCCCCCCCCCCCCCAACCCATCCTCTTCCCCCCACCCCCACAACAACGACAATTTGCATTTACACGCGGGGGCAGCGTCTCGGAGCGCTCGAACAACGACAAAAAAAAGAGAGAAGAAGAAATAAAGAGCAGCTCGGAGTGCAAGCTTTGATATTTTTAAAATAAAATAAAACACACACGAAAGTGGAAAAAAAATCGATGCGAATTGTACGAGACAGAAAAAAATTAATATCTATAAAATGGTCATTGGGGGGGGGAGTGGGGGTGGTTTTGGGTTTTTTTTGGGGGGGGATTTGGGGGGCAATATGGGGGTGTGAGAGTGACACATCGTCCTGGTTCACTGGTGGAACGTCACGTTGAGATTCCTTTCCACGACTTCGAGTTTATTCCTTTTATTTTCTTTTTATTCAGGTGATTATTTTGAATTAATTACACGCGTCTCTGCAGGTTTAAAGGCCGGAGAGAGAGAGAGAGGGAGAGGGAGTGACAGAAAGAGACAGACAGACAGAGAGAGAAAGAGAGAGAGGAAAGAAAGGAAAGAAAGCAGAAGAGAAGAATCGTGAGAAAAAGAGACCAGCAAACCAGAAAGGACGATGGAGAACGAAGGTAAGAGAGAGAAAAAGAACGCGAGCTAAAGAAATAGAGAGGAAGAGAGAAAGAGGTGGAGAGATAGAGAGAAAGAAAGACAGACAGAGAGAAAAAGAGAGAAAGACAAATAGAGAGAAAAGGAGAGACAGAGAGAGAGACACTCAGAGAAAGAGAGAGCCAGAGAGGATACAGGACATAGTTTGGGACATGACATGTCAAGTGACTGTCAGGATGGTGGAAGTCCAACTGGATGGACCGCGGTCTTCTTAAGTCCAGAAAATTCTTATGTTCTTAAAGAGAGGGAAGGAGAGAGGGAGAGTCGGAGAGAAAGTGAGAGAGGCGGAGAAAGAGAGAGAGGTAGAGAAAGAGAGACACACGGAGAGACAGTGACAGAGAGAAAGAGGTGGAGAGAGAGAAGAAAGAGAGGGAGAGCGGTTGCGAGGCTTTGCTGGAGTGAGTGTCTCTCACACAGACGTTATTACGCGTTTGTTTTCACATTTCGTTTTGACGGGGAAAGGAAATTGAGTAACACTCATCCCCCCCCCCCCATCCCCCCCCCATCCCCCCACGCTCCCCCCCTCCCCACCCCCGACAAACCAAAACATCTTAACAAAAGAACGACAAATAAGAATAAGAATAATAATTGATAAATAAATCACAGTCGCAAACAAAAACGGAATTTCGATAAAAAAAAATCACACCCCACGACATCAAAAACATCAAATAAAAAGCTGCTCATATTTTAAATTTTTCGGTGGGGGGGGGGGGGGGGCGCGGGGAAGGGGGAGAGGAGAATCGCTCTCAAACCCCCACCAACTCATTTACTGTAGGCGTGAACGAGGGGGAGAGGGAGGGAATGGGGGGAGAGGGGTTGGCGGGAGGGACACGGATGCTAAACACCACAATGTAATATTAATCGACATTTACACAGCGCCTTTCACACCGGGAGGAGGTCCCGAGGCACTGGAGGGTCTTGGTTTGTTGGAGGCCAAGGAGGTGGGGGGGGAGGGAGGGGGTTGGTGGGTGGGGGGGGGGGAGGGAGGTGGTTGGTGGGTGGGGGGGGTGGTCACTGAGGAAGGAAGGTTGGGGAAAGGGTGACTGTAAGCACAGTTACAGAGGTCCGTCCTTAGGGAAGTTTCCTTACACCGCGCGGGCACACGCTTCTGTTTATCAGCAGTCAGTAGGAACCCGGTTGTTAGTCGATCGGGGGATCGCTTTCCGGGAGTAATAATCCCTCTCCCCATTCCCCCCCAACCCCAAAATAACAATAGTTGGGTCACTCAATCCGCGACTGTCTGTGGGGACGCTGCTCTGCACAATCGGCTGCCCACAAAATACACGGTCACTCCATTTCATGGTATATCCTGTGAAGCGCTTTGAGGCGTCTCAACAGAGTGATAAGGCGCTGTATCAAATGGGAGGATTATTATTATTATTATAGGGCTTGAGACGGACCTTGTAATGAGGGGAGGGGACGAGTCAGAGGGGCTCCAGCATAAAGTTCCAGAGAGTGTGTGTTGCGGGGGGGGGGGGGGGGGGGAGGGGGGGATTGTGCAAAGAAAATTGCATTGAAAAATTGATCCAATTTACATTTGTAAGTGAGGGAAAGACGTCTCAAAGCCTATGTTTTGAGGGGGAGAGGGGGGTTTGGGAGAGAGTGGGGGTGGGGGGGGGGGACGACAAATTTCCCCTCTGTTGGCTCTTTGAAGAGGAGATGGGGTGAGAATCTCAACCTTCGAAAAACACCTCAAATCATTTTAAATTTGCAGTCGGGGGAACAGAATGGATGATCCTATAGTGAGGGGAACCGATTCATTTCTCTTTTTGTGGGGGTGTAAAAAGAGAGGGGTAAAGTCTTGAAGTCTGTGGAGTCCTGTGGCTCAGCGGTTAGAGCCCTCGCCTCGCAAGCCAGAGGCCCCGGGTTCGATTCCCAGGCGGGTCAGGGCGAAACCGTGGGCAAGTTTCCTTACTGCCCCCCCAAACACACACACGCGCGCCTCTGTTCACCCAGTCGGGTAAACCCGGGTGTTGATCGATTGGTGGAATGCTTTTCCGGGGGATAATAATCCCTTCAGTAAAAAAAATAATAATTTTGTCACTCACTCCACGACTGTTTGTGGGACGCTGCTGTGCGCAATTGGCTGCCGCGTTTCACCCTAAACAAATAACCCGGTCACTCCACTTTACAGTATATTCTGTGAAGCGCTTTGAGACGACGAAGATATAAGAAAGGGGGGGAAACAAGCAAATAAGGAGGTGGTGGGTGGGGGGTGGGTCACCCACCTTGTAATTAATGTTTTACATCATTATAAACTCAAGCACGACAGAGAGAGAGAGAGAGAGAGAGAGACGGGGAGGGGTATTTTACATTTGATTATCTTACCTACAATTTTCTTTT